AAACAAGAACTCCAGAAGATATGGAAGTGCTAGTTTTACCAATCCCTTAAAGGAATGAGCAATTAATTCTTAAAGCTGAAACACTGCTAAGAAAATTAGGACAGGCTAGTGTGATACCTGCATTTTATGCCCCTTTTGTTCCTTAGCACAAATACCTATCCTGTGGTCAATCTGCATTCCCTTGTTAGCACAAAGGCTAAAAATGCACATTTTTCTATGACTATGAAGTAAAATGCAATCTCCCCTACTCTAGTTTCACTCCTTGGGTATTTGACTTCTGTAACGCGTTCTTCCATTCACACAACTCCTTTCTAGTCTCACTAACTAAGAAAACAATACACAAAGCTATTGTGATGTGCCCAACCAGGTTTAGAGAACTCAGAAGAGTCTGAACATGTTTCCTCATGCCAGATAGTAACATCTGTGAGAAGTTTTTCATACCCCTGCTATAAAAAGGAAAGCTTGAATGCTATACCCCACTCATAAGAATTGCTGTACTGTAAAGGAAAGCAGCCTACTGACTCAAGCTCTCCAACCAATCACTCTCACTGAAGTAATTTGACGAAGTTAAAGGATACATTCCTATAATTTTAGAGGACATCGATGTTTTAGCAGCATTAATTAGGCACTCCCTGCCCAATTCATCTGTGTTAATGATAAGATTTTCGTTGATGTAGCGAACTGCTTCCCTGTAGAATGAAGACAAATACTGGTAAAGAATTCCACCCACACAAAGATGTTTTCAGCCCTCTTAACTGTTATCTCAAAGAACACAGGGATGAAATCAAGTAACCTTCTAGGACAGTTAAGCGACATTTTTATGTGAGACTCTAGAAATTCAAACTAACTAAATAAAAACCCCAACCAACAAAACCCCCAAAAATACACCCCCAAACCAAAAATGCCACAAACTTTGCACCGAGAAGTTTGTATTAACGCAGTCACAAATACAGAAATAAACAAAAAGCATGCAGTTATTGTACCTTAAAAAAATGCAACTTCAACTCTATTAGTTTCTTACTTGCAAGCAAGTCGGTATCCACCAATAATGGAGGTAGGATGAATTTTCTGCTTCACTAGCTCATCTGCATTTTTTAGAAGTTCTGCAGCAATAATTACCTGTTTGAAATACAAACACTAAATACATGTATTCCATACAAGCAAAATAACTACCTGTTGCCAGTGAGTAAAAAATAGAATTGCAAATAGTTGTCCAATGTCTACTCAATGCCAACAAGCACTTGCAACCTGGAATTATAAATAGTATCTAACATCAGGTAAAAGGCGCCTGTTTCCATGCACAGCCCCCTGCAAGTTGTCTAAAGTCTTGGGCATTGTCTTGACACTTTAACTATTCCATTCCACAGCACCAGCTGTGTATAGAAACTAGCATCTCTAAAAACCCACAAATTTAATTGCTTTATTCTGTAACCTACTTAAAAAAACTCTCTATATTCAGTCAACTATAAGGTTTTTCATTCTGTACAATTGACCCACATTGCATCAAGATTCATAACAGATAAATCAAAAGCTGCACTGAGATAATGAAACACTGACTTTTGTGTATCTTTCTACGTACCACTGAGGTTGTCCCATCGCCAACTTCTTTGTCTTGCAGGTCTGCCAGCTCACAAAGAACTTTTGCAGCAGGGTGTTCCACTTCCAGCAGTTTCAGAATAGTTGCACCATCATTTGTAATGGTCACATCCTAATTTTCAGAAATCAAATGCATTAAACATATTTCTATTACATTTTTACTGTTGTGCTTCATAATGTTTATGCAAATGAAACTTAATTATTCTTTGCAAATGCCCATAAAGTAATTAATTTATACCAAATGTTTACTGCTTCTTTTCAACCAGGGGTCCCATTCCAACAACAGAAATGTCACCAGTGCAGAATCTGTACTTTCTTTTTATCAATAAACTTTTACGTTACAGAAACTCATCAAACCTTCTGCACACAGCAATTAGTAGTAGTGTGGTGACTACCCTCTAATACACTCGTTTATTACAGCCGCCTGTTAAAACCATACACTTTGCTCATTTGCTCGAAATATTTTAAAATATGAAACAGAGAATATGGATTTTAAATTGTTATGGGATCATTTGAATTCTTTTTTTGTTAATTCTTCTCATTTAAAGACCAGGATACACAAGTCATCACCATCACAAAGCCTACCTTTAATTCCTGTGAAATTGACCAATACTTGTAAGCAGTCACAAGAACTTACAGGTAGAAAGGAGACAACTCTGCCAAATAAACGACAGTACTAGGTGGAACTAAAAGGACGTAGCATACATTACTCGACACTCAATTTTACCACAATTCTCCTCCTACCCTCCTCAGAACCGTGGAAATAAACAGCTATGTGGACATGAGACCTACGAAGCACAGCAAATATGCTTTGACAAAGGAATATATTCCTTTTACACAAGAATACAAGTCCTGCTAATACATTTTAAAAAAAGCTTACTTACCCCAATATCATCCACCAGCATCTTATCCAGACCAACTGGCCCAAGAGAACTCTTCACAATGTTGGCAATAGCAGATGCAGCAGTAACTGAATAAATGAAAGAAAAACAATTTTTATCTTTCCAACTTTAAGGCAAGAAAATGTATTAAGAACCTGCAATTCAGAAACTTGAGGTAACGTCATCTAATTCAGGATTAGGTTTCAGCCTAGCTAAACTAGTAACAGCTCGCTGCTACTAAAAAATACAGTCTGTGCCAAACTTTGCTCTTCCCTCCAAGCTGGTTCAGCTAACTAACCTGGCAAAGCTAACCAATCATAACCATTTTCTGCTGGCTTGGTAAGATGGAGAACACACTGAGGTTAGAAGAGCGGTGGTGGTAGCTTAGCATAAGTAGATAGCACTTTCTTTTCATGCCATGAAACTTCACTCTCTCATTTACTCCTCAGTTCTAGGCAAACAGAGAACAATGGTATTGCCATCTATCAATAAGTAACACATCTTTTTACCCCACTTACATCTGTGACTGAAACAAAACATTTATTCTATAACTAAGCCAAGAAAGTAAAAAGCGACCTCCTAGTGACTACCGAAGTAACAGAAAACCTCTAACATAGTGGCTTGTTTAAGGGATGTTCTGCCAACTTCATATAGGAAAAAGATACAATCAACCTTTTCCTTCAGACCGTGGCAGGTTTTTCTCTATCCCACAAGCATAGCCACTTAATCTGGAAATTGAAAAAGTGGTAGTATAATGGGAGTAGCGACAAGTCAGACCTCCACTCTGAACTCCAAAAGATGTAACAGGGTTTTTTTTTGTTTTGCTTTGGAGAAGTAATGGCAACTTTCTGAAATAAATAACCGTTACATCATCATCAAAATGGCCATTATCAAGGATCAAGGCAATTCTCATTCTAACTGTTTGCCTAAAGTAGTATCAGAGCTGCACTACTCTCACGATCACCAGGAAGCAGGTCTCCAGCTTCTTCCTTTGTCTTTCCCCTACTCAAAAACTGAGAACAATCTAGAAATTTGCAGACCTCTCCCAAGACTTGGGATAAAATCGTGAGAAATATGGGACGTTTTTGAGAAGTACAGTTCAGGACACTCATCTTGAGGGCAGTCCCCACGTTCTGAAGCAGGTTATTTTCCTGTGCCGGGGAAGCAGTAAGCTTCCCCAGCCGCCTGTTCCACATCAAGGCCCCTCGGCCCAGCAGGCCTTGCCTGCTCGCGTCCTACGAGCTCGGGGTGTAACCGAGCCAATCGTATAATCCTAGAATGGTCAGAGTTCAAAAAGACCTTAAAGATCATCTAGTCCCACCACCCCAGCCATGGGCAGGGGCACGTCCCACTAGAGCAGGTTACTCAAAGCCCAATCCAGCCTGGCCTTGAACACTTCCAGGGATGGGGCATCCACAACTTATCTGAGAAACCCGCTCCTGCCAGCGGCCGCCCCCCTCCCCTGCGGGTGCTTCTACAGAAGGGGACTCAGAATCACACCCTCATCGAGACGTCTGGGAGCGGCGAGGGATGGCGCCAGCCACTCTTCTTCTCGAGAAGGGGAAATGAACGGTGCCACCCGCCCTCCGTCCCGGCAGCAGCGGCCCCTCCAACAGCTCCAAGTGTCCCGGGGCTGAGGGAACCCGGCGGCAGGGCGAGGCCCTCCCCGGCTGGCGGCTGAGGCGGGTGAGCACATGGCGGCGGTAACGGCTGCGCCATGTTACCTCCCTTCTGCCGCCCCGCCCTGTCCCGCCGCTCAAACGAGCCCCCGCCGGCAGCGCGCTGCCCTAACCGTTCTGCGTGCGGATGGCGTCGCCGCTGGTCCGCTCCCCGAAGACCGCCAGGGGCCCCTCCATCGCCGCCATCTTCCCGCCCGGCCGCCGCGCGAGACGCAGAGGGCAGGCAGCGCGCGGAGCCGCGGAATGGCCAGGGGGAGCGCAAAGGATGCTGGGTGCGCACCCCACCGCCCCCCTCCCAGCAGAGAGGCGGGTGGGAGGGACAGGGGGCGGCCCCACACGCGCTAGGGGCGGGACTAAGGCCTGCCTGCCCAATCCAGAGGCGCGGCGCGGCCCAGCCTCGAGCCGCCATTGGTGCGCGCGGCCGAACAAAGGCGCCACGCGCGGGGAGGGGCGGGAAGGCTTCCACCGGCTTCTAGAAGGTGGCGGGGGCTGGCGCGCGTGCGCGCTGCCGCCAGCGCCTCTCAGGGGCGCGGCTCGAGGTGGGGAGGGGGGACGGTGCCGCCGGAGGCTGCCCTGTTGGTGGGGGCTCGTCACGCCCTGCCGGGTGCTGTGGGGTTTGTAGGAGCTCAGGTGAACCGTGCAGAGGCCGAGGAGCAGGCAGCCGGATGGGCGGCGGCGCCTCCCGGCGCCACTTATACCTGATGCAGTGGCGGCAGCGCCAAAGAACCCGATTTGCTTTGTAATAAAAGCCCTCCCCTCCCCGTAGCCATGCCTGGACTGGGGAGGGGAAGTCGGCGTTTACGCTTGACGTCACCAACGGCGGGCGGAAGTCCTCCCCAGCCCGGCTTCCGGCCTTGCCAACATGGCGGCGCCCAGGTGCCCCTGAGCGGCGGGGAGGTGACAGCCGCCCGGGGCCGTGGCGGGTCATCGGCTCCCCATGGCGCTGAGCGGCCGCAGCTGCCTGCTGCTGGCGGCCGGCAGGCTCCAGGCGTGTGGAGCGGGTAAGCGCAGCCCCTCTCCGTCTCGCCGCGCCGGCCTTTCCCGACGCGGGAATCGACCTCCCGCTGCCGGCGGAGGGCCGCTCCTAGGTCTTGGCAGGGCCCCTGCGCAGGCCCCGGTCTGTGCCGGGCTGTCTCCTGTGGGGACCGTTCGGGCGGCTGCGGGACGGGTGGGCAGTCTGACAAGGAGAGGCCCTGCCAGTCACTCTGGTGAGACGTACCCGCTGACACTCCAGAGTGAAAAGTTGTGTAGCAGACTGAGTTCAGAAGCCTAACTCCAAATTCGTGTTTGTTAGCTTAATTAATGAGAAACAGCTTGACAAGATTAAGGATTTTTATCTTGTTACTTGGTAGTGCTGCCATTGCTTCTTTGTGTAGTTCACGTTTAGTATTTCGTAAACCCTTAATTCTAGGGATCTTTTAGTCATCCATGAGTTTATATTTTATGTTTGGGTTTTGGACCACTGTCAATACATTATTTTTTTTTTAGCCTTTAGTTGACCTCATAAATTGGAGAAATAGGTTGAGCTCTAGTAATCCATCTATTTAGCGTTTAAATAAAAAAAACCCTACTTTTGCCCTGTTAACTTTTACAAGCGGCATCATTTTATATTGTATTTGTTGTACTGCCCATGCTATTTTTTTTTTTTTTTAACTCTGAGGGTGTTTTATTTCCTGCTTTCCCTCAAGGTCTTCGTTTTGCATCAACTAAAGCCAGTCTCAAAACTGAGACTGAAGTGGACACAAATGAAAATGAGATTGTTGCTCCAGACTTCACTAACAGGAATCCTCGGAACCTGGAGCAGTTGGCTCTGGCTAGGAAGGAGCGTGGCTGGAAAACAACGTGGCCAAAGCGTGAATTCTGGCATAGGTGAGTCAGAAAGTCACTGGCAGAAATGAAGACTCCAAAACAAATGAATAAAAAATAACAGGCATAAATAAAAAAGCCCCAAACTACCTACAAACCCACAAGGTGGAATTTCTACAAAATTCTTTATGTTGTTGAACCATTTGTTCCTTTCGTTGTTCTTAATTAACAGCTATGCTGATTTCTTGTCTTCTGGAAAATAACTTCCTTTTAAGCTGGTGATTTGAAATCATTGTTTTGTTCCTGAGGGTGTAACCACATCCAGTTTGTTCACACCTGGAAATGTGATATTGTTTCAGTGCAATAGAAAATAGTTGCTCCTGACACTGTGGTTATGTGTTATGGCTTATGAAGTACTGCTTGACCACTTGGTGATCCTGACGAGCTGTTACCTGCTGCGTAAGCAGAAGGCTTTAAGAGACAGAAACGTAAGGTTACATTTCTGCTGGAGCAGATGCCCTGATCTAGCCCATAAACACCCATACCCCACTGTGCAGGTGTGCAGTGCTTGGTTTGGAGCCAGTGCTGGTGTGAGGCACCTGTGCAACTGGTGAAGGTTGCTCTTGGAATTTCACTCTTGAACTGGTAAAATGAGTTCTTGTTTTATGTCCTAATAAAGTAAACAAAAACCTAGATAAGATAATAAACAGCAGTATTAAGTAATCACTATTGTATTAATAGCTCCAGTACATTCAGTTTTATTTAAAGCAAGTCGCTTAATGCATTTAAGTATGTGAATGTGTCCTCTTTTAGACCTGGAGTAGACATTGCATCCCATGTTCTTTCTCTCCATCACTCAGATTACGGCTTGAGCGGACACAGCATTATGTAGAAGCCTTCGTTGAGCGCTGTAATGGGGATGTTGTGGTATCTGCCTCTACCCGAGAGTGGGCCATAAAGAGGCACCTGTACAGTCCCAAGGGAGTCTCGGCTTGCAAAAACCTCGGCCGCGTAATGGCACAGCGCTGTTTGGAAGCAGGAATCAACTTTGTGAACTTTAAAGCTGTCATACCCTGGGAATATCGTTGTGACTCGGCAAGTACCCATCTCCTCACACTCATTTGGCCTGTTTTTCCTTTTTAAGCATTAGTTTTACTCCTCTTCACTATTAGTTTTCTTACATGGCTTGACAACCCCTTCTTGCGATGATCAAAAGGGTAACTCTTGACAAGCTGCAGTTCCTGGCATTATGTTTCAGTGAGGCTGTAAGCCTCTGCTCCTCCATGTAGCATGTCTCTGCTGATATTTCGGTGCCGATGGCTCTTCTCTGTACTTATTTGTGTCTCTCTGTCTTTTAAACAAGATCCAGGAATTTCAAAAAGCAATGGAGGAGGGCGGTGTTGTTCTGCGTGAGCCACGAAGAATCTATCAGTGAAATGGAGACCGTTGGGAAAACTTCCCAGGGAACAACGGTGGCTTCTTTAGGGGTGCATACAGGCACAGTGAAGGTTGGAAAAAGTTGGAATATGGCATCTTGTAATAAAATGTTTTTAAATGCGTGGAAGTGTGTCACATTCTTGATTTAAAAATGTTCAATGCCTTTCTTCTAAGGCTAGAATAAACTGGTATAGTTGGACCTGACAGGCTAACAGAATTTACTTCAAAATTCAAGAATTTTAAAGTATATTCTGGGTGGGGGTTTTTTTGGCATTTGATTCTTGTGTTTGTTCTAACCGGACCTCTCTGAACTGCTTGAACCGTGTAGAGGCCCAGCCAATTTATGTGAACGTTGAGAACTTTCTTAAGAGTTATGTGCTAAGCTTGGTGAAAAGATGGAGTTGCCCTCGCTCCTCTTTGCAGTTTCCTTGCAGCCCTCACATTCTAATTTCTTTAGCCCGGGAGGGAAGCCGCGCCCCCACCAGCTGCTGGCAGCCAGAAGCCGATGTCCCCCAGCCTGTGTCTGGCGAGTGCGGCCCGCTGGCTCCCCGGAGCCCCGGCACACCGCCGGGCTCCAAACCTCTCCCCGCCCCTCAGCCTCGGCCTCCGGTGGGTTTTTAAAGCCGGGGGGGACGAAGCCCCGCCGGAGCAGCGCAGGCGCGACGGGACGGTATAGGACAGGGGTCGGCGCGGCGGCCGGCCATGGAGGTGGGAGCGGCGGACTTCGAGCGGTGCCTGCCGAGCCTGCGGGACCGTGTCCGCCGCGCCGCCTTCCTGGGTGAGCCTCCGGCCGCCGGGGAAAGGAAGGGCGGCCCCTCGGGCCTGAGCGGCGCCCGGCCGCTGAGGGGGTGCGGCGGGGCCTTGCCCGGCGGGCGCTGAGGTGTATGTGAGCGGGTAATGGCGGCGGCGTGTGCGGGCACAGCCGGGGCTGGGCCACGGGGTGTTAAAACAGGCCGCGGAGGCTGAGGAGGAGCCGAGCCCTCTCTGCGGGACTGGCCCGGGGGCTCAGGAGGCCAGTCATGGGGGATGTGGACAGACAGACAGACAGACATACCCCAAAGGGCAGGGTGAGGCAGACCCAGTGGGTTTGACAGGGGTTGTGGTGAGGAGTGGCCTTCCAGGGATACACCTGTTTCATATTTCAGACTTAATTCTGTGTTCTTTCCCCCTCGGCAGCCCTTGATATGGAGTTCACGGGCTTGCATTTGACTTCCCTGCAAAACAAGGAGCCCAGGTAAAGCTGCTGGAGCTGAGGTGTGAGGGAGAGCTGCTGCTGGAGCTCTCTGGGAACCACCCGGGCGTTGCCAGCCCCCTTGTTTTCCACCCCTTTTCCCCCAATCCCAGTTTTGTCCACAGCCTGTTCGATTCCCCGGCGGAGCGCTACCTGAAGGCCAGGCAGAGCGTCCAGCGCTTCACTGTTGCACAGCTCGGTGAGTGCTGGTCTGAGGCAAAAAATCATCTTCCAAGGTCTTGCTTTGGCCAGCTGGTGGGCCCTGCAGGTCGCTCTGGGTTTAATTCACTCCTTACCGACACATTTGTTTGCTGTGCTAAGGTTTCTCTGCCCCTCTCTGAAGTGTAACGCTATCAACTTTTTAATATTTTAAATAAGGTAAAGTCAGGTGGGTTATATACTTCTTAGTGGTCTGAAAGCTTTAAAGATCGCAGGCAGAAATACAGGGCTTTTAGAACACAGGATGCAAGCGAGAAATAGGTGGCAGCAGCTCCTGTTCAAGGCTGTGTCATTTGGTATAATGTGTAAGGGGACCAGCAGGGGAAAACTAAAATGCTAGTATTTCTGATATCCCTTAAAATAATAAAAAACTCAACACAAGAAAGGGCCTGTATGGTGGAGGAAGCCTATCAATAGTTAATAGCTAGTTAAAGGTCAAGAAACCCGCTCCAAAACCATTTAAAATGCTGTTCAAAGCCTTAGGCTATGTAAGGTATTAGTGTGCTTTTTAGGGGTTGATAGAAAGAGAACCCGAGTAGTAAAAAACATCCTTCAGTCCTATGTGGTGCCTAACTCCTCCCAAATGCTTTTGTAGTGTAGTTGGACCTACAGACCTGTGTGTGAATAATCAGTGATTTTTGTCCCTCCCGTTGCTATATTTACTTGTTATTTAATCACACTTGACTCCTTTTCCCACTTAGCTCCAAAAGCTTCTCCCTGCTCAGCTCTCGGGGAGCTGCGGAGTGGCCTGGCCGTTGCTCTTCAGATTTGCTCTGTGGCATTAGGGAATGGAAAACACGCACTCCATCAGGGGATCCCCACATTCCTTCTCTGATTTCTATGGTATCTGTGGATGTCCAGCTAAACATTGCCATTTCAATGGGCGTTTCTCTGTCTTGCAGGGCTGGCAATATTCTCAAATGAAAATTCAAACAAGTAAGTAAAATAATTTTCTGTTTCAGTGAAGACAGTGCAGTTGAGATTTTATGCAGAATTCTCTTGGGAGGAGTTATTTCTTGTAATTATCTTCTAGAGAGATTATTTTCTTTTCATTGTAGGTATGTGGTGCATTCATACAACTTTTTTCTCTTTCCCTCAACGCTGGGACTTTCGGATGTTGAATTCACCCTCTCTGCATCTAGCATTCAGTTCCTTTCTCATTATGGCTTTGACTATAATAAGGTATGTAACCTCTTTGCCAGGAATCTAGAACAGAGGAGGTCCATCAGTTACAGCAGAAATTAGGATTAATATCCCTAAATGCTACATTTCTAGGGTAAAGTATGAGTGCATTGTATGGTTCATTGTCAACAGGGAGAGTGAGTGCTGGTTTTTTTGAACTGCCATAGAGGCAGTAACCACATCTTTGTTAGCCTAAGATGGATTTCCCCACCTCAAAAAAAAAAAAAAGAAAACCTATTTTTTATGAGCTGACCCCAGTTGGAGTCTTCACTAGCCATGAAAGTGGGGGAAGTCTCTCTCTCTTTACCAGCATCTTACATATTGCCACGTTTCCCATGAAATTCAGACTGTCATTGCATAAGAGCACTCTTTAACAGTTTTGGACAGGAAGCATCATAATATCTTGACACTTGAAGTGTCTCATTAAAGGAAAGATAAAAGCAGAGCAAAAAAATTGATCAGAGTTGACAAAAATGGTTTTATTTCCTCCATACATAAACATACCTGCCTTTATGTAAGACCAGTAAGACCTACCATTTGTATTTTTCAAGAGGATATTCTGAGACTGAGGAACACTAGCATCTTCAAGTATATGCTGGTTTTGGACCTGGCTAGCCTGCTTTTCTCTGATTTGCTGCAAGATGGAGAGTAACCAACCTGGCATTTTCTCTCCCCCTCAGTTCCTCAAAGATGGAATCCCATACATGAATGAGGCACAGGAGGAGATCCTTAGCCAGCGTCTCTTAGCGGGTGGCTTGAAAGTCAGCAGGTGAGTGCTATTCAGAGAGGTGGATCCTCAGTACTGACCGCATTGACAGGTCACCTTCTCTCAGATCATGGTTTATAGAAATATTAAAGCTTGTTGGTATGAATAGGTCTTCCCTTTGCCCAGGGAAGTCGTGGATGCCCCATCCCTGGATGGGGCTTTGAGCAACCTGCTCTAGTGGGAGGTGTCCCTGCCCATGGCAGGGGGGGTGGAACAAGATGGCCTTTAAGGGCCCTTCCAACCCAAACCATTCTATGATTCTGTGAATGCCTCACCATGAGCTGTTCCAGCTTGCTGCGGTCTGTCTGAAGGAAGACAGAGATCGCAGGATGCAATCTGGAGAATTGGGTGAATGTTGGGAAGTGATGCTTTTGCATGACCACAGCAAGGCACAAGGCTCCCTCTGTGAAGAGCTTTTTCTCACACTCTGCCTCTTTCCCCTGATCCTGCTTTAGTGCCCTGGACAGGGATGTGCTGAAGAAGGCTATTGATGAAGTGACCCGTTGGATAGCTGCAGCAGAGGAAGAGGGGACTATGATTCTGCAGGATCTGAGTGGTATGAAACAGGATGGGGTTCTGAAAGGCTTCATCGCTTCTACTGAACCTGTGGGGCTATTACTGTCCTCTGCTGTCTGTTCTGTTAAACTGCTCTCCTGAGAGTGAAAGCATCTGTACCCATCCTGCCTTTACAACTCTTTGCCCCTGTCTACGCCTCAGTTCCTGTCAGGGATTCATCTCTGGGCTCTGCTTTTATGCTCGGTTGAGATGGTGGGTCTTTCTGTAGTGGGAGTGGATGTCTGAGTGGAGCATGCTTTGTGCTAACTGACTTACATTTTGTGTTGCTTCAGACCAGCAGCTGCAGAATTTGTGGTTGCTCTGGATCAGGACAACTCTTGTCTTGTTTTAAGTTATATAATCATAGAATGGTTAGAGTTGGAAGTAACCTTAAAGATCATCTCATTCCAACACCCCTGCCATGGGCAGGGACACCTCCACTAGAGCAGGTTGCTCAAAGCCCCATCCAGCCTGGCCTTGAACACTTCCAGGGATGGGGCATCCACAGCTTCTCTGAGCAACCTGTTCCAGTGTCTCACCACACTCACAGGAAAGAAGTTCTTCCTAGTATTTAATCTAAATCTCCCCTCTTTCAATTTAAACCCGTTACCCTTCATCCTGTCACTACATTCCCTGATAAAGAGTCCCTCTCCAATGGGTCCTGGATGACCCGGTTTTTGTGTTCTTCCCCTTGGAGAAGGGAAAGGCAGGTCTTCTTTCAGAGTTTGTTCCTCCTTGTGTGGAGCAACAAGGAGCCCTGTGGAGACAGATATATGTGCCAGTGGTGATAAACGGGTCACTTACCACCTGTGTTAGCTTTTGGGAGCACTATAGCAGAGCAGAGGAATTTCTGTGCTATTTTGGAGGAGCTGAGGGGCAGGGAATTGTAGTAGAAAATAGTCTGTATGTTTCATCACAGAAATCAAATCTTAATCCTTTAGGTCAGGGAATAAGATACAGAAAAGGTTAGGAAGGACAGAAAGCATTTAAGGCTTTGTGTGTTGAGGCTTTTTCTGCAGAGTGGGAAATACAGGGGGTGGGGAGTGTGCTGTGTTAGGTTTCTGCTATGTCAGCTGTAGATAATATGATATTGATAGTTTATTAGGATCTGGCAATGGTGAGCACTTGTGACAAGTAAGACGTTTATTTAAGTAAGCAGTAAGACTGATTA